TAGTCTAAACAAGTACATTCTCACCTAAAAACTCTTAAAACTACATTCCGTGACACAAAAACAGTATTATTTTTAAATGATAGTGGATTTGGGCGTCCGCCATGACACTCGCTGTGAGATATACAGCAAGCGGAAGTGGAGTGATACAAACGGTGAAACAGTTGGAAGAGTTCTGTTATCACTCTAATATCGCACTCAGCCAATCAGATTCTAGGACCAGAAAGAACTGTTATATATATATATATATATATATATATATGTATGTGTATTACTTGAACAGCAGGATTGAGAGATATCAATATGTCTTTGCTAATTAAATTCAGTTTATTAATTTTTCTATAATGAATTGAACATCAATTCAACAAACTGTTAAAAGCTATGGGAAAATCTCCAACCATTCATTCATCCAACTCCATTCATTTGCGGTAGCCAACCTTTGTGGGGACACTGTATATTAGGATAAACTGATATAAGCTCATCCAGCTATACTACACTCATCTGACTGGTGTTTTCTTGGAAACTTGCACAGGTATTCGATGTACACGAACGATTTGATGCACAGCTGTTCCTGCTGCAAGGAGGCGAATGTCACCAATAAAACGGTGACACTGAAGTGTGCCAACAGCAGCGAGATCCGTCATAACTACAAATACATAAACAGCTGCACATGCACTCCAATGACGTGTAAAGATCAGAATACCACTGAATAAAAGATCCTGCTTGACTGCTAATTTGAACATGACTCAATAATCTGACACACTACATTTCAAAAATATATATCCAAAAATGGTTATAGCGATGATTTAAGCTGATTGTTACAATGCATTAATGGCTAAAGTTATTTTGGCAAATATTGCACCATTTATTTTCTGTATATGTATATTCTGTGTGGTTTGATCCAGGGGTATGGTTAACTCTAGTCTGTTTTGTTATCTCTCAAAGGGGATCCTGGGCATTTTTTCTTTTATTTGTTACACTCTTTGGTAATGCATGAGATAATGGTGTACATTTCCTTCCAATGAACTGAATTAAAATCACAATAAAGCATCATAAAGAACATCAATAATATAGTCCCCTGGATTTTTTTTTCAGAAAAGTGCTAGAGTGAATGCACTGGAAATAAAACTGAGCACCAACACTTCAAAACCAACTGTCTGACAATAATGAAACGTATGTCCTAAAACTTTTTTTAGATTTAATTTAGGTTTAATTTAGATTTTGAATCCCGCTGTATATCGAGAGACCTGGAGCAAGTTCAAGCTCAAACCGGTGTGCACCGTTTTGCTACGGTTTCCGGTTTGAACGACATGTTTCCTGGAAACGGTGTGCAACGAGGTTTGAGATGCGTTTTCTCTTGTTTGGTGGGTGTGTCAAACATGTCAGCCCAATCAGCAGCAACATGTATATAAACCACGCGGTATTAAAGGAGAAGGGTGTTCCTGCACAACCGGAGGCTGCAGTTTCAGTTCTAGGACCGCAGTTCTAGGACCCTATTACGGTGGCCGAGAAGTGCTAAACAAATCACAATTCTGAAATCAAAATAACAAATTACAAACGCAAATGCAAGTTTAAAAAACAAAATAAAATTCAGAAAGCACAACAACAATTCAGAAAACATTATAACAAGTCAGAAAACAACAAGTCAGAAAACACAACGACAAATCAGACAAACCGGAAAAGGTAGGTATAGTTTGAGACAGCCCATTGGTTTGGGATTACTCACCGCTGACTGGACGAGACATCTGTCAATCAACGTATACAGGGAAGAACCAGCCGAAGAACAGCAGAGTCGTGGTAGAAAGTTCGGAGATGGTATTAAAGTAGCTCAGTTTAAATGTATTGTATGAATTGCCCTTACTATGGAATAAAAAATACGGAGTGTATATTTACATTTAGTTAAAAGTGGCTGTAAACCATCAGCTGCAGTGGTGCAGATGCATAAGCACTTGTCGTTGGCTTTTTGACGCGATCGACCCAGGTTCGATCCCGCCTTTTGCCGAACCTTTTTTTTCTCCCTTTTCAAATCTCGTATCACATCGTAAAGGCATTTATTTTCAATAAAAATTAAGGAAATAATCAAAAAGTTGAAAATAAAGTATCGGGTAGGGTTAGGGTAGGTGTAGGGACGGCTTTATTGTACCAATAAGGTGGCATCCATTTAATAATTAAAATTAAAATTATAATTTACACTCAATACGTTATTATTGCATACTGTTTTATAATGTACTACAATACTGAAGTGCAGATAATTGCCACTATTTGCAACAAGTAGTATACTTGATAGTAGAAATCCTGCTATTTTAACAGTGTAAATAGGTATTTGCACTTAGTGTAAATAGCATATTGATAAAAATACTGCTATTTTCACTTAGTGTAAAATAGAATCCATTGCTAATACGAGATTTGAAAAGGGAGGAAAAAAAAGTTCGGCAAAAGACGGGATCGAACCCGGGTCGATCGCATCAAAAAGCCAACGACAC